TAAGCTATGATTTATAATGTGTAAAAGTAGCGGCACCTGAATAGGAGGAGCCCAGCACTAGTTCTCGCTTCCAGCAGCGCGGTGCCCTCGCCTCCGTTGTGCCAACAGCAGTCTCTAAGGTCACACTGTGAATAAGGGAAGGAAAAAAGAAGTGCCTTATTTAAGTATTTTCATAAACACATATGCTTTGTAAATCGCCTCATCTCTTGAGCGTGTTTGAGTCCCAAACACCATTTGACACCTCAGACAGCTCAGAGCGAAGCACTGGTAGTGTTTTAATTCAGATCGAGACCTGCTGCTTACAGCTGAGCTATTAATGATGTAGGAATAATAAAGCAGAAACTGTTCCCTGGTTTCTCCAGGACCAGTAGTTCAGGCACCAATCACAGTATCTAGTTTGAGGCTTCACTTCAGTCAAACCAGTCACTTAAGCCTCTGAGCAGATAGGAATTTGAGGAAGGAAGGAAAATAGAAACTCTTCACAAAACCCAGCTTGTCGGGTGCTCCCAACTGAACACCAACAGCTATATTGTTGTGAGTTATGTACTGGGATTTTACCAAAGCCAGTTTATATTATATAATGACTGGAAATGCTAGTACTAGGCACATATGGCTGGAAGGTCGGCTCTTTAACGCTTGGCTGTTTAATGCCACCTACTTTGATCTGGCTTAAAAATTTTATTTCAGCACAAAGCATCATTACGTCAAGAATACGAGGCATACGCATATTTTAATTGCAATCACTTGTATCAGTTGCATGATGTTTTAGTTATTGCTAGCAATTAATTCTCTAACTGCATAGATTTTACCTACTGTCATGTCAGAACTGGTGCACTCAAGCATCTCCACAAACATGAGAGGAAAGCTTTCTATTTGAAATGAATGTACAAAGAACCAAAGTTTCTACGGAACACTACATCATGTTAGTATGGAAACATGAAGTGTGACAGACTGCCAAGCAGCCATTCTGGTTAGGAAAGCTGCAAAGCTGTTGGCCAGGGATATGAAAAGCTTCCCAAGAACTGAGTTTTCAGACATCTAAGTTATCTAATCAACATAGCCCAAGGACCACTTAATGTTGTTTCTTAAGAGATTCTGAAAACCAAACATCTCCTGACATTTCTAGGGGCTTGGTTTGTTCATTTGTTGGCTAGTAACATCATTATTTAAATTATGCCTTAAAACAGTGACTTGGGAGGGAGAAGAGAGGAAATACTGAATTTTGATAAATCACTACCCTATTCTATAGTCTCCAGAAGAAAGCAAAAAGGCCATCTGTGCAGGACTTCAAACTTGTATTTTCTTATTACTTTCTTTCTGAACTTATCAGTACTATGCTAACAAAGTCCATTTGGATTTTGTGAAATCTTAGTCATTTAATAACTGAGAAGGGAGCACATTCAAATTGCTGGCATGTGATTCACTAGTCAGTAGTTAATAGCAGCGGTACTTCTAAGTCTACCTACATGAGAAAGATGTGACAGAACACTAGTAGAAATGAAACACAAGCTTGGAGAAAAATGTACAGACTCCAGGTCATCATGTTCTAGGTTTGGGGTTTTTTTTACTACTGAGTAATGATAAGTGGAATACAAGGGGGACGGTAGGGGTGGAAATAGATAGGTACCTGAAGCAATGATTTAAAGAAAAGCAAAAAAAGGTTTTACTAATGAAATACAATACAGTGACACTAACACTGGGAAATACTGAAGTAACCCACAGACGATTTTCAATGTAAAATCAATAGTTTATTGCCATGCTACAATTTTTTTTTTTCCAAATGAAGTTGGCACTGTTAAAGGGGAAAAATGTTGTCATAATACATAATACATTTTTTAAAAATGCACATTTGGTAAGCTTTCTCAATAATGACAGCTTAAAACAAGTGAAATAATTTTTTTTAAAAGAGATTAATGTGGAATGGCATAAAAATACACTCTGCATAGTATAATATCACTTTTTTCATAAAAGAAATATGGAATGCTTGTAAAAACAAATTCATTGAACAGGGCAAATTAATTGAAATTTTATAAACAATTTGGCAATGGTACTCCCACTGTTTAGACTTTTTTATATAAAAGAAATAAAAATCTAGAAAGCTACCTTTATACAAAGTTGCTATATTTATGCCTTTAAGTAGGAAAAAACATTTTATAATGCAAATTAGGACATACAATAATCTTACAGTATCATACAATGTAATGACAAGAAAGGAACATACAACATAAGATTTTGGCCTTTGTAGAAATGTCTATTTCTGCATTTAATAAATGCATTTGTGGCACACTGGTGACTATTGTATTCTTACTACTACCAGTCAGCTTTCATGCTAGCGCAGTATTCAGCTGTACTGTAATGGCAGGTCTGCAGTTGAGTTAAAACACAGACTGTTTTTCAGGAGACAAAAGGCGATGCTGCAATGAAGCAAGATGTGGAAAAGGCAATGTGCCTGCTGGTTGAGACGTCTGTATTGTGGGACACCATACAACACTCCTTCCTTTCATACCAGAGCATTTCTTATACATTCAGTTATTAAGTACCAAAGTCTTACAAGTGAGAACATCTGTGTTCGAGATTTGGCAAAATTTCAGGGAAAATACAAAGTTAGTACCAAATATATAATATATTATATATAAAATGTTGGTGTATGATATACACACATATTCTAATGCAAAAAAACTGCATTAATATGGAGTTAAATTTGCTGACATCCATTCCTAAATAACATCACCATTAAAAAACAGGTGTAATCCTGAACTTTCACACACTTTAGAATCACTTCCTCTTTCATACATAATAGTTAAAGCAATATATATGCAAGTATGACTAAGAAATCAAAATTCACATAATAATCTCAACTCTGACCACAACAAATAGGATTTTTTTTTCAGTACATGTAATTAAATATATTTATATTTTTACAGTATTTTTAGACCATTCCTGAAGAACTTGACCAACCAGGTCCTCAGGTGTAACAGAGCTGTTACATCAGCAGAACTTGATCTTGTAGGAGCACATCCAGGGGCCCTTGAAGTCAACACGAATCATTCGTTTGGCTTCAAAGGACACTGCATGAGGCCCGCACAAGCTCCGGAAGGATCACCCTGCTAACAAGGAAGATTCCCTGATGACATCAAAGCTCCTACCTCGGACTTCCTTTCCTACTGCCAAGGGGAAGGACTGGAGCAGAGGACACACGGGCTCTCTGGGTTGTTGGCAGGCGGCGTTGGGAATGACCGTGTAGAGCACAGCCCCAGCACCAGGGAGGGGCAAGGTGAGCTTCATGGCACCTTTTGTACTAAGGCTTCTTGTGGAAAGCAGAGGAGCTGCTGCTCCATGCTCATCGCTTGGCAATTCAGTCACCACGGGTCTCAGACGTGAGCTGTGGCTGGGACCCCAAGGCATTAAGTACTTTGCAGACACAGAGGAAGACGGTCCCTGTTCTGAAGGGCTCGAGCCTATTTCTTAATCGTATTTTTTACATAATCTCCTTTGTATATACACATATTTGCTACATAAAATAGAATTACACCAAAGTAATGGATATAGCAGAAAACGTTGTCACAATATATGTATATTACCACACTAAATAATTACTAAAACTGCAAGAAAATTTCAAAATGCCCTTTGTAATATATAAAAATATAGAAATGTCCAACACTTGTTTCATCAGCTTTAAAGGTAACTTTATCTCTCATATTCTATTTCTATCCGTACACCTACATATTTCCAAACAAAATACTGCGTTAATCTGGAGTAAACACCATGTTAGGATAATATCCTCATAAGACATCTAACAGACTTAGTCACATACCTTACAGCACAGTACCACAAGGAATAATGTACACATGGTCAGAGTTACAGCTGCTAAGTTGTTGGGGTTTTTTTCTTTTTTCTTATTCACTTTTCTTGTCCAAAAGAGGAAGTAATTCCTAAAGATTGCAAAAGAACCTTAACTCATGGCTTCCTGTCTTTTTCATATATGCTCTGTAAGAAGGACATCAGCAACCTTGACTCCATTTTAACGCAGTTTTTTGTGGTGGAATTTCTTCTGGATTTTTTTTTTTTTTTGGAGTGTATATGAATTTAAAATAAAGATATCATAAATGAACTTATGTTTATATTAAGTAAATACTGTCAAATATAAATGCCTGAATTGCTACCTCAAGGAAAAGATGGGAAAGATCTTATCATTAAATTCCAAAAATACCTAATTCTATCTATCAAACTCAAGGACCAAACTTCTTTAGGGGAAATAAGAGAATTTCAGATTTAAGTCTACTATTAGTTCCTACTAAATCAGCTTCATCTTATTTGCAGCCATTAAATAAATTAGTACAGTGCAGAAATGGAATTTCACCATTGATCCCACCTTACACAAAGAGGAGAATACTGCTTAGAAATAGAGGTCCAAATCAGATACATCATTATATGCTCAAAGTAGTAACTGACACTAATCAGAACTTGCATTTTTACTTCACCGACAGTGAATAAAGACAATCTGCTCTCTCCTGACTGTCTCATTGAGAAGTGGTTAAATATAAAACAAAAACAAGGACAGCTAGATTTTGAGCCAATACACTGTGTTGTAAAAACCTGCAAAATCAACTGCTGGTCTGTCACCTGCAAAAGAGCAGCCCTGTTTTGACATTGGTTTGGGCTTTGTACAGCTTACACCTTTCTGTGGTCCTTTTTACACCCAAGCACCTAGTCAGAGGTGTAAAGGCACACACAAATATCCAAACATCTGGGGATGGGGGGGAATTAAGCAGTTTATGATATGAAATGTTTATTTGAACACTTAAGATTTCTATAAGAGTTCTGTAGACTTTAATAGGAGCCAGAATAGTGCTTCTATGCACACCATTACATTCAACCCCTGTCATATGCAAAACATACTTATCAGGGGAAACAAAAAATGTTCTAATGAGAGTTAAAGTTTTCAGAATGGTCTTTTTAATATTGTTTTATGGAGCCAGCAAGAAACACCACAAAATTAAAAAAATTGGTCCTCCTCTTGACATCAGTCTGAGAAAAAAAAATATTCCTGATATAACCAATGGATTAAATTCTCACTAACTGTACTTCTAGTACAATCTTTATTATGTACTTTTGGTCACTGTTTCATCTTTTTTATCAACTCAGGTTTCCTTGTTTAAAAGATACACTAATGTTTGTTTTTCCCAAATCATTGCATTAAAGGAATACCTACAGTTAAAGGCTCTCCCATGTCAAATGTGCTTGAAGGGTAGCAGCCAACTGCATGCTATGGATGAAAAGCAGAACTGATGGAGATGCTGCCATTTTTGCAGGATCTAGTTTATGTAAACTTTACATGTCTCACTTACTAAAGAAAATGGTTATGTATTTGTAGTTTCTCAGTCTATACACCTGTGGGCCCAAAATAAATACGACCTAAATACTGTGGAGGGATTTCAGCTGAAAACTGAATCCTAGATTACAGACACTAAACCTAACATCACAGCCTTTAAAAGAGACTGAATTGAAAAAATATTTACCAAGTCTCAAAGGGTAAAGTGCATTGCTACTACACCTACTTCAAGGGGCAGAAAATAAGGAATGCTGAAGATGAGTAGCACAGGTAACAGGGACTACCTGGTATGTTTGCAGCGTACACAAAACAAGAAAGCATTATCCCACCTGTAAAATCTAAGAGGGTAAAAAGTAGTCCTGGAAAATATGTCAGACTTAATATAATTAAGGCTACAGAAAGTTGAAATTTCAGTATGTTCTCAATTCTGGGGACCAGAGCTAAGAAAACACCCACTGTGGAGTACTGTGAAACTTGCAACAACATAAAAAAAATTCCTCAGACCATCCCTTGTATCTGAGACTATTCATGATAAACACGTAGAACAGTGCACCAGAACTAAGGAAGGATATGGTTGGTTGCTGTAATTTCAGCAGGTCACTTAGGATCTACCTGAAGCCTCTGTTTCCCTATTTGTCAATTAAGAATATTACTTCCCTGCCTCACAGGTGTGTTTTAAGGGTCCAGTTAATTAGTATTTCCGAAACACCCATACTATACAGATGAGGACCAAATATTTCTAGGCAGCTAGCTAGATCAAACACGTTTGCCTCAAAACACATGCTGAAGCATTAGTTCAGCTCACAAATTTAAGTAAGCTATAAGCTAAGAACAAGAATCACACCAGAATCACGAACCCAGTAAGTATTTTGCAATACCTGGCAATTTCTCTTCAGTGCAGACCAAGACCGGTCCATAGCATAAGGTGAGGCAATGGCAAAGGTGTGAAGGAGCACGAACACTGCAGACCTGTAAAATGTCTAGCTCTAGGTAGTCATTCCCTTCTTGAGTACCAAGGTCACCCCACAAGTCAACGGGTCTATCACAAGAGTATGCATAGGTTGACTGTGAAATCATTAATGAGGGTTTTTTTAAATCTCATTTAAATTCCTCATAATGGTCTCAATGACTCCCATCTTTTACTTCTGCAAATTATGTCCTTTGTGCATCTAGTATTTTAGTACCATGCAGTCTGTAAAGAATAATGCAAGTCAGAGTGAAAAGGTTGCCTGATATCCCCTAATGGTGTGGCAAGATGCATGTATTTCAGGTGCTACCACTGCTGCCACTACTAAACTGAGAGAAGACCAAAGAAAAAGTTAACAAAGGAACAGGAACACACTCCAATTTAAGAGACTGAAAATATTTGTAGTTTGTTTTATATAAAACTTCAATTCAAATATTGCATGAAGACCCTTAATTCTTTTTCAGATCTCCAAATGGCTTTTCTTGCATGTTTTTCCTCACTCACAGTTCAAGGGTTATTTTGCATCACACCAGTTCACACAAGTGTCAGTTCCTTTGCAATCACAGGCTCAAAAATGATCTCTTCTGCTGCTAGTACCAAGGTGCACCTGCAATACTGCCAGAATTCTAAAATTATTCAGAGTATAAAAAAAAAAAACAACAAAAAAACCCAAACCCAAAACTTCTGCTAAGGGTGCGTCTGGCATATTCAACGAACAACATTCTACCTGGATGTACCTGTAACACTGAGCAGCCATTATAACCAAGTTCACCAACTGCAAAAGGAAAAGAAGTATGCTTGTAGATAATGCTACCTTCAGATAATTTACTATGAATCTTTCTAAATTATATGATCAACTATGGATGCACACTGCTAGAATGTACAGTTTTCTAGAAAGAACTAAGTCCAGTACCCTGCCTCCCGTGTAACCTGTGTCTGACGCTTTAGAGGAAGACAATAACTGCATAATAAACCCTTCCAGTTGTGCAATAATGCACACTGCTGGAGAGCTGGGATATTTCTGTCAGGCATAAAAAAGTAGAACACTGGACAAAGACAACCATTTGACCTTCAAGAGTCTTTCTTTGTCAAATGCAAAGAGTAAGACAAACACATAAATGACCCTGAACAATAATTAAAGCTATGTACAAAATTTTGACTTTTAAAACAAGACGTTATGGAACAGGTAAAAAAGAAACACACAAATACAAAGAAAGGAAGGCACACCGAACTAAGAAATGACAAGAGAGCCTTAATTCATACAGCCAACCTGTGAATTCCTTTACAAACAAACAAAAAAAAAAAACCCCAAACTCTAGTGAGATTAAAATTCTGTCAGATTTCACAGGGAACTCGATATGCCACTCAGAATTCTCTTCTAGCAGAAGGAGCTTAAGGCTGGGTTTAGATGTGTTCATAGCTCTGATCAATGAACTTTGATGTGACCTCTCAAATATCACACAAGTTAAGAAAAAACTATTGGGAATTAGAGGCCTTCTTGCCCATGTGGTCTTAAAAAAAAAAAAACACAAACAAAACAACAGACAACAAAGGTGTGGTGTTTATATCCCTTGAGATGAACCAATATATCTCGTGTATATCAAACTGAGTGAATTAATGCATTACACACATTTCATTCCAGAGGACCCACTTCAATAAGGAATGAACGTAAGATGGGTATCTTGAAAGATTAGGTTTACCTGCTAATAATGCACATATCAAGAGGCTTTAAAAAGTGTTATAAATGCCATTAACAAGTATAGGCACCAGACCAGAATATTTATAAATTCAAAACTGGCACGTCACTCAGACTCTAATCAATTTAAAGAGGCACTGTGAAAGGTGGTGATGCTGCTATGCAGTAATTACTACTACTGTAGAATGAAAGAGTGTTACCTAAATGAATACTTGCTCTACATTAATTCCCTTTAGTTAGACAAGTACATGAAGTATGCAGAAAAAGTCCTATTAGTCTATAAAAGGCGTTAGTGTTAAGAAATGCAAAGTATTTGCATCTTCAATTTTATAAACTTCACAAAAGGTGCAAATGATTTAATGCTTCCCAGGCTCACATAGGCAGGTCAGTACTGTTATGTCTAGTTTTCCTAGAAGTACCATCATCTCGGGGCAGTGCTTTTTGCAAGCTTGACATAGCAGCAGTTCTTTCAATGTCTATCACAGCGTACAGCTCTGTGCGCCTGGTTGGAGTTTGCGGAAGTGGAGTGGTGGGGGTTTTTGGAGTCTGAGGGTTGTCGGAGTCACTACCACCTTCCAAGTCAACCTGTATATAGTTGAGCTGCCTGTGTTCTAAACTTGGACGCCTAATGTCAAAGTTAAAGACTGTTGGGGTACAGTCCCGACGTCGTGTAAATTCTACTTTATGAGCACTTGCTGGTACTGTTACATTCTCTGTATTGACATAATTATGCATTGGATCTAGGTTATTGTGGTAGCCATTCAGAGATGGGGTCTTTGGTCCTAAACTGTCATCTTCATCTCTACTCAGCTTGCGGGCTTCCCAAACAGGAGGCAAGGATGGCAAGTTCTCATAGTTCAACAGTGCAGTTCTCCTCTGAGCAGAGTTGTTAATGTTCTGGGTGTCTGAGGTACTGGTTGATGTCAAACGACCTCTCCTGACCCCTGAGGCACTAGGGATTGATAACCTATTTATATTTTCATACACCAATTTATTACCAGATGGTGTTTCTCTACGTTCATCACTGTCGTACCCAGTGTCCCATTCAGTGTTGTTTGTGCTGCTGCCGCTAACTTGGTCTCTCCCAAGTTGCTCCAGTTTCTCTCTTTCCATTAACTGCCTTTGAACAGGTGTTGGTCCTAAAACGAACTTGACTCCTTCGGGCTCCAGGAGAACCTGAGCATCTCTGTCATCAGTACACATCTTATCTTCTTTCACTTTAATTGTTTCAGTGTTTGAAAGCTTTGATTCCAGTGGCGCATGCACACTTGATCGATTTTTTCTTTCCTCTTGTACCCCAGTAGTGTTGACATAAGTATGCACCTAAAAGAGGAAGAAAAAAAAGGAAATTCAAATGCTATTTGTGCTTTTCCCCCTCCCCCCAACTTTCTTTCCTTCTTAGCTCCCCACTTTCCAAATCAAAATACCTGAAAACCAAATCTCTTGAAAGCAGCTGTTTAAGAGCGAAGATCATCTCTCTCACATTTTGCTGAACTGTGCTCAGTTTTGGTTTTTTTCCCTGAAATTTTGTTGTTGGTTTTGTTAATGTTACTCTAACAAAAGAACAGAATTTACATCCTACATTAATAATTATTTTGATTTGATGTTTATCTCAGTAGTGCCCTAGTTACAGCTTTTCAGGTTCTATTCCAGCTCTGCTGTGGTCAGGGCAACCTTGGGCTGCTCCAACTTAGCTCATTAGTTCACTTAGACAAATCAGTGAAGCAGAGCTCTACTTTGTTGTCCCTTAACACGACAGTGACCAACAGTTCAACAGTTGCTTTGGCTAAATTTATCTTTGTAATTTCCATACTGCAAAGGAAACTTACTGTCCATTTAAAAAAAAAAAAAAAAAAAGGACCTAAAAAAACCCCAGGATCTCGCCTTGTGTACTACTCAAGCAATGAGAAGAGAGGTTGGCTCTCTGCTGGAACAGTCCATTCTTTCATCAAGAGCCAACGGCCTCCTAATACCAGAAAATGAAGTAGGAAAATACACAATTCCATATGAACTGTGGCACTCAGAATTGAAAAGGAGCAGGAGTTGGCACCAGATGCCACTAAGAAAGGCAGAAATACACCACTAGGTTATCCCTCCAAGTTCCCACAGTGGATCAACACAAGACTGCATGGGAAAGACTGGAATAATGGATTCCTTCTCTAAATTTTAATTCTGTGTCTGGATATCCAGACAGCACAAGTAGTATTTTACAGCAGCAGTCATCTACCCTTCCCAACTTCTCTGTCAAGCTCTACAAGCTGAAGTGTTATTTACAGCTCACTTGACTCCTACACCGATCCTTTAAACTCATTTACTCTTCAATAACTCCAACAATAACACTTGGACTCTTCCGAGGGGGCTCCGAACAAATCCTTTCCCACAAGCCAGTTCACTGCACTTTGCTCTGGTTACCTTCTCTGGTTTCTAACACTGTTTCTTGTCACACACAAGAATCTTCGTAAACCACATTACATTTTATTAAACTTGACTAACATTTTCATCAGCAACCTGAACGATGAGATAGAACACACCCTCTGAAAGTCTTCAATCTATCCCAGATTGGTAGGGTTTCCACAGAGAGGGACCTCAGCAGTCCGGAGAACTGACCTCATAGAAACCCCAGGAAGTTCAGCAACAGCAAATGCAAAGTCCAGTGCCTGATATGGAACAACACCTACAGTACAGGCACCAACTGACTTAAAAACAGCCTTGCAAAAAAGCACCAGGGGTCCAGGTGGATGGCAAGCTGAATGCGAGTCAGCAGTGTGCTGTTGCAGCAATGAAAACCAAATGTGCATTGGTTTGTGTTAGCAAAAGCACAGCCAGTAGGTTAAGGAAAGTGATTAATACCATCAATTCAGTACTTGTGAGACTGAATCTGGGCTCCCCAGTACAAGACAGACATCACCATACTGGAGCCAAGTCCAGTGGAGGGCCATGATTAGAGAGTCTGGAGCATGTAACATACAGGGAGAAGCTGAGAGAGCCATCCTTGTTCAGTCTTAAGACAAGGCCAGGAAACCACCTAACAGCTGTTTTCAACTACCTCACAGATAAAGAAAAGACAGAGCCAGACTCTTTTTGGAGATGTTTAGCAAAAGGCTAAGGGCCAATGGACATTAGCTGTAACAGAAAAAAAATCTGATTACTTATTAGGGAGAAATGCTTTCACAATAAAGGTGGTGAAGCATTGGAACACATGGCACAGAGACACTGTGGAATCCCCTTGTTTGGGGTTATTCAAAGCATGACAGCACAAGGCTCCGTGCAGCCGCCTCTAACTTTAAAATTTGACCTAGGGGACTCTAGAGGTCCCTTCTAGTCTGAATTATTCCATGATTTCTATTTGCCAAATAGAAGACTTACATGTAAAGAAGCATTTTGACCGGGATCTCTCATTATAGAGTACCACTTATGTATTTAAAAATAATTACTGAAATTTTTGAAATGTGTATATGCAAATACATACTTTCTATATCTCTATTTGTATATAAATATGAAGAGCAACTTAAAATAGTTACTTTTTCTCAGCAAGCTATCCTACAAAGTATCATTTTAAAGAGGCAAAGCAAATACTCTTCTGATGTAGTTAACATACAGTAGAAATACATTACACCTGATACTGAAAAACACAAATGAAAGCCTACAGAACAAGCATTAAAAAAAATCTGAATTGATGTAGAACCTAAGTTATAGGAGAGGAAAAAAATACCCACTTGCTCCTCTGCTACAAGTAAAGGATGTGTTGATTCTTCACCGACAGAGGGGAGGCGTGCGCTTCCGACAGAAGGATGTCTGCTGGAAGGATGTGATGAAGCATCTCCAAAAGATGGATATCTGGGATAGCCGTTAGGTAAACTTTGTGCACTGAACCCAGGAGCTGATTCAATTAGAAAACAAGCAAAACCATATTAAAATGGAACATTTTACTGTATATGAGTAAGATGCTTTATATCTTCGTTTTCAATTTTCAAAAGATAAATTTAAATATGTAAAACAATATTAAATATTCACAAGATTCAATTTTGCTGGGGGGAAGGAAAGGGAAAGCAAATTGCAGAGTATAGCTTCCCAGTATTTACTGGGAAACATGTCTGAAGCAACCACTGAAATCTAGATGTATTACACACTGCAGTCCTCACAGTAAACTCCCTATCCAACTTCTCTTTCTACCATTAACAACATGCTGCCCTACCAAACAGGGACTTATTCACTTAAGCTTCCCTTTCTCCGAAATCATCAATAACCTGGAATACCTAGTTGCAAATACCAAGCCATCTGCCTGAGATTACCTGAAATCCTCTGGTATTTTTACAAGGACTTCACTTTACCCATCCATCTACTCAACAGCAAAAGAAAGATTCCAAACCCACTGTAGATGGGATATTACCATTACTTTTTTCCCTAATAAAGAGGTTGGAACATTGCTCAACATTAACATTTCTCAGAAATGCTACAAGTAAAATATGGTGATTTACTACAAAGCAATTCAAGGGGTGTTTTCCTAAGTGTTCATAAGTTCTGAAACTGTTTTATAAACTTTATTTTCCATGAATGTAAGACAGGGGATAAAATGAAAGTGGAATGTATGGTTCTTTTTAAACTTATCTAGTGAATCCTGTTTTCTACAAGGAAAGTGAGTGGATCTTTATTACATGGTATATATTCAGCTTGGACAATTTTCAGAATTCAGTTAATTCAGTAATTTCAGAATTCAGTATTACAATCTTAAAACTTCAGTGAAGCAGTATTCCTATTCAACAACTAAGTTCCCAAAACTTATGTCTTACAGCTGAAGAACTTGACTATGGCAGTTTTGCTCCCAAGACTTAGGATTCTCGGAAGAGAATCCTCAGCAAGTACCTCAAGAGAATGCATTACTGGTAATCAGCCTCTTAGCTTTAAATTAGTTTTCTTTTTAATTAAAGTTTTAATGCAAATTAAATGCTATTTTCAGCTAAGTACCACATTACATTCAGGTATGTCATCTGACAGTATAACCATACTTACTGGTAGGTGTTCGAGGGGTTCTTGGAGCTTCCAACTCAGTTTGATGATTATTCCTTTCTACTACTGGTTCTTCTACCACATTTATGCTATTATTCTGCATTATCTCTTGCAACATATTAAATAGCTCTTCTGCACGGGCACATTTAAAGGCAAAGATTCCTATAAATACACAAGAAAAAAATCAAAATCCTTTAACGTAAGAAACATGCCTTACAACGTACATAACTTTCAAAAAATAGAACTGGAATCGATGTAATGAATACCTGTTAAAGAAGCAAAAATGTTAAGAAATTTTTATTGTGCCAAAACACACAAAATTACTGTGAGAACCTTCAAAGTGTTTATCTAATAGAAGAATAAGATTCCCATGCACCAAAAGTTAACTTAGAACAGAAAACTGATTCAGTTAAGAGCAAAACTAAGTTTTGAGTGCTAAATAAGGGATAAAAAAACCCCAAAACAAACCACAAAACAGGGCAAGATTTTTTTCTTTTTTTTTTAAGCTGATAAAAAGGATACCTGTTAAACAAACAAATAAATAAATAAATCACTAAACAAAACTACTGTGGTGCTACTAGGTCATATTTTTTTAAACCAGATTTCTATTAAATTACCATAAAAATAAGATACCTGCAGAACAGGAAAGAAGGATTTAAACACTAGGTAAAAGTTTAGTTTCTTTAAGAAGATTAAAATGAAAATCTAGTAAGACAAACTGTGTCAAACAGACAGTAACAAACCAATTGGTTTAGGCTAAAGGATAGACACAGAACACAAAGTTAGCAGCAATACCATGAATTTTGTGTGTGTATTGTGCCACTTTGCCTTTAAACAGCAGGGAGCGCCCCAACTTACCCTCACCAGCAAAGTCGCAGCTTTGGATTATTCTTCCATTGAAAGCATGAAGTTAAAGTTGACATGCTTGTTAAACGTGGGTGCAGGTGCTCATTTTTTAAAGTGAGTATTACAATCTTAAAACAATCTTTACTAAAAACTACCTGCCTATATAGCTAGTTCTGTAAGTGCAATTATGTTATATGCTGGCAATTACTATAATCATATGTTTATTTAAGGACGCAGAACTGTGACAGATCAGAACTACCAGAAATGCTCTGCATGGCAGAAGTTCACAAAAACCCAGCTGGGAATATAGTAAATGGGCTAAGAGGAATGACACTCAACAATTAATATTCAGCTGGTGCACTGAATAAGCTTCATGCTTGCAACACAGCAGCTGTAGAGCTGCTTCTACTACATTTCCTCAACCCATGATCCATCTGAAGTACAATAGCCCATGTTTAATTTTTTGTGTATTTCTGAAAATTCACACTGGATACTTAAATCTTAATGGACAAAAAATAAAATAAAATAAAAAGATCTAGGTTCACAAGCTTTAAAAATTTCCCAGTACGTTTCTGAGAAATTCAATTCCTTTGCCCCTTTACTTAAAAAAAGTGCTTCCAAATTGCTGATTCCTTAAAAGATGAGGTGAACTAAATTGGCACTGAAACTACAAGCAAAAACAACTTGATGAAACCTTGATTTTTATTAAATACATTCACATTAAATACAGTGTGATCTGTCACTTACACAATATGGTGACATACCAGCTCCTTCAAGTTTTCTATTGTGAATTATCTATTAGCTTTGCTCTCAAAATGTGTCTTCAGGGTTTTTAATACCTAGCACAAACTCAATGTTTCACCATCATTGCATTCTGCCAAATTATCAGGAGATATAATTTGAGATTAAATACAAAACACAAACAAGAATATTGACTAATGTAATCGGTAAAAGTTGCTGGGCAGTATTCAGGGTATTCTCAAATGAGAAACTTCTCGGTCATCTCACCAAATGAAGATGAAGTTTTGCAACTGTGGCCACAAAACCCAGCATAGGTCTCAGGAACAATGCTCCATTGCAAAATGGCAGCAGAGAGAACATATTCTGCCAGATTTCTTTTTTCTCAATATTTGCAGTACTTTACTATTACGTAAGGAAGGCAAGAAACAAAAGAGGGAGGAAAGGGTTGCTGCTCACACAGCCTGCTTAATCTTCTCTTAAAAAAAAAAAATTAGGAATGAAGCAGAGAAGTCAATTAGACTTGGTGGAAAATTTTGCAGACTTGCTAATAGGCCATGGAAAAGAACCTTCAAAATAGTATTTTCAATCTATTTTACATGTTTAGAAGAAGCAGTAAATCAAACCTGCAAAATAATCAAAGTTATTTTCTTCAAAACAAAGTTTATTACTTTCTTCTTAGAAGTCTGAAAATTTAGTTTAGTATGGAATATACTGTAACATTTGAAAATATCTCTATTTCTCATTAGGAGATGGAGCTGAGAATGACTTCTAAACTTTTATCAAAAAAAAAAAAAAAACCAAACCAAAACTGTCTGCCCTTACCTCTGCTTGGACAATGAAGATTGACTAGCTTTGTTTATGATCAAGTTCTTTCATATTCCTGATTTTTTACAGTGAAAGTAAAAAAAAAAAAAAAATCAAAAAGCAAAAACCAAAAATTGCAATTGCTAAAATTCATTATTGATTAAAACATTATTAAATGCTAAAAATCTATAAGAAAAATAAAAATGCAACTCAATTTCACAACATATAAATACATAAGAATTCCACCTACACACAGCTACATCACAGTAGAAAGATGCAAAACGAGGCTGAGACCTCAACCAAAACAGCTATTGCCTCAGGGGCTGCTCCAGGTGAAGAGAGAAAAGCCTAAGTCTTCTCACTGGGAGCCAACCTTGACCAAGGCAGGCATGATCTGGGAACTGGAAAGGTAACCATCTTTTTCCAATTAAAGCCACACACAAAATAACTCCGCATAGCTGGAGTTTACACGCTTCATACAAAAATGTGTCAAAATTTGAGAATGACGTCACTGGTATAAATGGAAGTATTATTTGTTTTAGGAAGATGATGAAACACAAGTGTGTTACTGAAGACAATAATAGAGTAGGAATATCCAGTTCATACCAGTGCTCCAGTCTTTTAAAAATCTAAAAATAGAGAATTCTTTGAATTCTGAGGAGATTGCTCCACAGTTCCAGGTTTCACTGTCCCTCCCTGAAAGTCAAGTCAACCTCTGAGGTAGGAGAATTTCCTTGTCCAAACCACCTTCTAAGTTGACCAGAAGTATCCACACATACAAGCATGAAGTGTTCCAGACCTACAATGCCAAAAACCATGTGCAACTCACATCCTCATTTTACCATAAGACCATTCTTCACAAGGTAACGTACTTTTTTTCCAGAAACCACATTCACATATAAAACTATAGCCTTTATAACCCTTGCGAAAGGACAAGCAAATATACTTTTTGTTTAAACAAAATTGTCTTCTAACATGAAATAAATTTCAAAAAAGCTTTATATACAAACAAAATTCCACATACCTTGTCCAGTTTGACACCTTCGGCCACTTTCAAAAGAGAAAAGATTTGAGTCATAGCCATAGCGACGGAGACAGAGGTAGTGCCATTTTACAGAGTCCCTTTTACGGGTGTACAAAATTAGTTCTGTATCTGTAAGTTCCATTATGCCAGAACCCAGTTCATTACCATCATCATCCACATTAATAACCTATAAAAGGTTAAATAGCATTAGGTTAAGTACTTTTTTGAGGACCAATAGCACTACTAATAATGTTTCACTGATGCGCTCCATCTGCTCTGTCATGAGTTACGATCCTTAAGTTTAAAAGAAAACAACCTCACCAAACCAGTTCCTTTGCTCCCCCAACCCAGGATTAAAATAATACATATTTAAAAGCAATATGAATAAGACTGCATAACATTATTGTAAAATCTGAGGAGAAATTTAAAATAGAAGAGATTCATACATTTAATTATATTTTTTTTTTTAAAACTAGCTTTATGTACATATTCTGTATTTCCACACACAGATAAGGCATACCTCAGCTAATGGAATCTTTCAGAGCCCTGTTTCTAAAAAAAAAAAAAAAAAAAAATATTTGCTTTGTCATATAACTCCACTTACAGTTGGGAAAAGGAATGAAAAAGGATAAGGGGCTCCAAGATAAAGCTTCCTTCACATACCTGTATAGCCTTGCACTGTGCTGAACCACCAGACTGTTTTAGGGGTTTTTTTTCTGCCTTTTTGAAGTTAACAAATAATTCAAATACCCTACGGTCTTGCGTGAAAACACGTGTATAAAGCTTAAACTCTTTTCTTTCTGCTTTTAAACCAGTTGGAGGTGACCTGCATCCTTTATGGAATTCAGACAATGTATATTTTCCTCTGCATGTATTTCACCTCACAATACTGCTTTTAGTGGGATTCTTTCTTACTCAATAAAAAGGCTACCAAAAAAATCTTCCCTATGGTATCAATTAATGTCATCCCTTAAAGAGACATTTTCAACTTGAAATCTAGTCAATTGAAAAGAATTAGGAATAGTTTCATCTGCCACTAAGGCTTATGCCAACTTTCTTCATTTTGCAAATTACAGTCTTTCATCTTCTCCCCCCTGCTGCTAAATCAGCGACCCACACAAACAATAGAGAAATTCTACAATGAGAAAAATAGGAACTAGTGACACAAAGTGATGTCAAATGCATAAAAAGCAAGAAAACAAAAATATTTTATCCTTCAGCTTTTTGTACTGAGAATATTAAACATTTCCAGAAATTCCCATGGCTTTAAAGCTCATTTCAGTGTTGCCTTAAGGCAACGCATGAATAATTTTTCACTATGGAAGCATTACATTCCTTTGCCAACTCACAGAGACAGTTTGGAGCACAGAAGCAAATCTAACTTGTGGGACTACACAAAGGTATGTTTACTTAAAGTCACTGACTTCAGCAGGTTCATGTTAGGCATGCTAAGCAAATGAACAAGTGTTCACAAGCTTATAAATTCCAGGGATATAAGGGACAGAAGCACTTTTATAAATAAAATTTCTTCAAGTAAAGGACAAAAGTTCTCAAAAGCCTATAATCAGTAGTGACCTTCAAGTAAAATGTTCCATTGCTGACCCCGCATCCAGGTTCATAATCACACTTCTCCAATAGCTCTTCCCTTATGCTTATGACTCCCCTCCTAACTTCCATAACCTCCTGGAGGCAACACCACTTACTTGGACCCTACCAACTGAAATGGAGATGGACCAAAAGCACAGGGCTGCTTCTGCTTCCTGAAGATCAAAACTGTCATAAAAAAGCTTACTTGGTCTAAAGAATTCCTGTCACTGCTGGTAAGAGACAATTTCTCAAAGGGGCAAGAGAAACCTGTAGCCACAGACACCTACAATTCTCCGATGTTTTAACTGTTCAGTAATTCTCACCCTATTTTCATATAAAATTTTTTCCATCACAGACCTACCGTGCAAGAAAGCAACAAAATAATTCACAGCATACCACTTCAGTTGCTTACCTTAAACTTGTTTCGATGGTTATCTGGGACAGTTTCTTTATCTGGACAGCTACAACAGCTACCCATGACTTCTTTAGAAGACCATGTGATCTCTAAAGGGGGAAAAGAAAAGAAAAAAAAAGAACACCACAAAGTGATCATTTAGTTGAAGTAAAAATAGAGTATCATCAATAAAACAACTCAACACAAACTGCTCTCGGAAATTAAATTCATTATGAATTTTGCAGTCATAAGTAATTAAAAAATCAACATAAATACTACAAATTTTTTAAAATAGTTAAGTTAGATTTGGCATTATGGAGTGGTAACACCGAGCCGTTAAAGTCCTACCAATAATTCAGCTGGAGGTTACTACCAAACAGACCCATCCGATTTGTCACCTCAATTCCCATGGCAGCAGCTTGGGGGAAACAAAACCCAACAACTTACTGGGTGCGATTCTCATCTCCTAAACCAGGGCCTTTACACAAGGAAACTCCCTGGATTCCAGCTCCGTCTATACGGAGCGCTCTCCGGCGTCGACTGCTGAGTGCAGCCCTAGTGACGCCCACACAAGCCCCCGTGCAACGGAGGGTGGAGGTCTTCCAGGGCTGCAGGCAGCCCTGCAGTGAGGCTCTGTGCTTCCACTTTTAAATACTTCCCATGTAGCAACGTACATAAAACTATGTAATTGAAGTAAAGGGAAGGAAGAAACCCCACATTCAACACAAATATTTTAAAACTTGGGTTTTTTTATTTCTGTTAAGTTCTGTTTGGATTAACTTGTGTTACACAGTCTGCTTCATTTGCTATAAAACAGTAAAATATTCAACTAACACAGAACAGCATGGCTAAATTAAAGAAACCAAAAATAAATATTTGATATTTTTTATATTTTCATTTAAGCATTTTTGTAGGTATGGTAAAACTTTCATAAAACAGTAGGATAAAACATTCATAGACCCAAGTCTCAAAACTTGCTTCTCCTCCCTTACCACCTTGCAGAGTGTGGTATGTCTTGTATTTCTTAAATATGAGAAAGTCAGACAAAAGAAAACTTAATCCATTTACATCATCTTTATATTGGATAAGAATTAATATTTCCACTACAAAATGAAAAGTGGGGCAAAATCCTGGAAGAGAGCTAGTAAGTCAACAAGAGATACGACACTAGGAACCAAGAAGAAGGAAGACAGAACTGGTTGATAACTTTTCCTGACTAAAGGGGAAAAAAATCTGACATCACCTTAAGAAAACCAGAACTTGCTTTCCAGACAGGCATTTGTATTAGCATGCAGTAGTAGTATCCAAGTAGCACTGTAGTTTGCTGAGAAATAAGGTGCAAGGAATACAATGAAGAGCAGCTAACTCTTCCCCTCTTTTTGACCAGAAAAGCCACTCAAAAGAGATGCTGCTACCCTAGAGACTGTATAAATCTGCATAAATCTGCCACCAAACCCCTGCAGAGGTGAAATGGAGAACCTAGCAGAAAGGGTAACAACATGGCTTGGATTAATCCAGTAAGAAAGAGGCAGAGCGCCAGACACATAGTCAAAATCACGGATTCTCTAATGTCATTTCTGGCCATAACATGAAAACATGCATTAATTTGACAGAGCTTTTTTCCCAACTCAACATGAAACCAGAGGGTTGGTTGCTTCTACTGTCGCAGAGAGAAGCTATGCTACACACAACTGGTTTTTTGCATAGTGAAGAGAAGTCCTGAATTTTATTAATCAGTCCAATCACTCTCTCAATTACAGACTACTTTTAATAGTCTTCACACATATATCCCATTGTTATTTTAACTATTCCTTTTTTTTTGCTTATGAATTCTGCCTGTTTTGTTTAGAAAGGGAGACACAGGTGATAACACCCATTACTGATTTCCTACCCTGGCACCCCACAATGCCTCACTGCAGTAACATTCAGATGTTGGTCTTGTTAGCATACTGATGCTACCCTACTTATTCTGAGAATAAAAGGAGCAACAGGTGACAATAGCTGCAATGCAGATTAACAATGAATATATAAATTTTCAGCAAGGGTTTTCAAGCTCTGGTCCACACAGCAGTCAGTTGCAGAGTCTTGTAGCAGCCTTCAGGCACAGATGCTTGCTCTTTATTAATAAAGCCCAGTATTTGACCTCCCCAAACGTTTTGACCCAGTGGAAACAGAACTATATAGCAGCATGCTGTTACAGTATCATGACTTTCTTTGCATTCAGCATTAAATAACTGATCAAATCCGTTGGAGGCAGGTGCCTGCAAACTCAAAAAACAATTTAAAAAAATCCTTAACTGCAAAGTAGTTTGGAAAAAAAATCACTAGAGTTGCAAGTAGCAAGCTGTAGTATATGAAGCTGCATGAAGTATAGCCACTGTATCTCAAGAATGACAAAGAAATGGTATGTAATGAATAATCATACAAGCTTGTTATTTTGTCTCCAATATATTCTAATATTAATACTTCAGAAAACCAAGAACTGCAATGGTGCTTCAAAGGAGAGGTGTGAACCAAGGCTATGAGGAAGAAATGAAACAGCTAGGGAACTGGCAGAATTAAAAATCACTCACCTAGATTTGGCCATTAATATTCCCAGCCTCTGCTGCAGCATCAGGGCTTCTGTCATACTCAAAGTATCATGCTGTCTTGTCACAGAACTAATCATTTGACCTAGAACTAGAAGAGTACATAAAAATGTAATTTTTCTTGCTTTTAAGATGCTTTTAAGTTAGTAAACTAAGAAAAATACATACTTTTTTAATTATTATTTTGGCAGTATTACATCAAGTGAGATCTTCATGGCTAGGGGGCATCTTAAGCGGAGTTTTAGACAAGAGACTGATTGCTTAGAGCTTCCCCAGCATTTCCATGCTTAGTTGGGTCTTGGAAGAAAATAACCTGGTGTCCCCTTTCTGCAGTGTAGCCTGTCACACTGGGGACTCCACTCATTCTCCACTCGCTCCTTACCCAATTTAGTGTGTGGAAACAACAGATGTGAAGCTCCCGTTATCCTTAGCACATACCGAACCAAACCACCGCAAACAGAACAACACGTACCACTTACTCTGCTTAACCTCCCTCTTGCTTATGCTACTGCACATGTACAAATGCTGACCTGTATGGCTAACACATCACCCTTTCTCTGCTTTCTTCACGATTCTTGCTCCGTGACATTAACCACGTATTGCTTCCTTTCACTCCCTGCCCCCAACTACTCTCATACTAGCTTTCCACTCACATTTAACACCAAAAACTCAAATGCTGTTTCCATCAGGCTAACAGTTGGCAGCCTCTATTCTCTGTTTGTAAAATTGTCAAATGTGCACTTGATGTTTCCTTTGATGCTGCTTCTTGAACTCGAGAAAAGGGCTAAATTCTCAGAAAACTACTTTATTATTAGCCTTTCTTATCAGACTTTCAGGATGTCTGTGCAAACTTGTTTGAGACCATTGCAGCTCTGCTTATCAATACTGCCACAATTCTTTGTATCATATGCTGTCCTCTGCCTTGCATCTGGATTACAAGCATTTTTGGAACCCAAAGCACTGCTTTTTTTGCATAGTATCAAGTGTGATACAGTCCCAAACTTATCCCAGATCCTAGGAATCATGGTAACAGTTGCAGAACACTCTTACTGTGGAGGGATTGTGCAAGAGAAAAGCAGAAATTCAATACTGTTAAATGCAAAATAACACACCTAGCAAAGGAGCTCTGTTAGGAAAGATCAGTCGTGTAGTTGCGCAGTTCAATGAAAACGCTAGCTCAATAGCTATCATAAAGCAAATGACACAGAATTGTTCAGAAAGAACAAAAAGAGCCAAAACAAAAATACAATGTTCTCTAATGAATCCACAGTGCACCCACAGATGTAGTAATGTATGCAGTCATGTCTCCCCCTGTCAGAAAGGACAGAGTAAAACCAGAACTATGCTAGTTGGACGGCTCAGCCTGGAAAAAAGGACCACACAGGACAGAAAAGGTGAGTACAGCATTATAGGTGACATGGAGAAGATAAATAAAGCACAACTATTTTCCAAATGGAAGCATTAGGAAGCCGCAGTTGACATTATTAAGCAAAACAACTACACAAAAGTACTTTTTTTGCACATGGTATGTAGTTAAACTTTGTGATTCACAACGTCTTGTGGGAATAAGTTCCAAAAATTTAAGGATTCAGAAAGTAACTGGACAAATGCAAGCTCCATGAAGAGCTTTTAAACTCAAGGATGTCACATATGGCTCAAAAAGTCTCTAAGCTGCAAATATTTAGAAGCGTCTTAGGGAATGATCATAAAATGCTCCTTCTTACTATTCCCTTCCCTATATATTTACTATTGGCTGTCAGAATTTACTATTTACTGTCAGAAACAGGATACTGAACGAACCAATACTTCAGGTCTGACCCAGTAAAGCCATTCTAGTTAACATAAAAGGCTGACATGGGCTAAGCAAAAATTTTTGAGTGCACTGTCATAAGACATTAAAAAAAGAAATAATTAACAACTTGCATTTAACTTGAAACCAAACCCTAGATTTCACAAAGGTACAGAAGGATAAACTTATTGAACTACTTGATACATATGTGTATTTGCATACACATAGTAAACATAAAGATTCTCTGCTGTGCCTAAGTGCTATTTAGTATCAGGAACTTGCAGCAAGTCACACACCCTTCCTATAATTTATCTGCCCTTCAGCCATAAGCTTTCTTGATCTTGGACGAAATTGTACACAGTTGTACTCAAGACCTATCCCTCTGCAACACACACAGGCTCTGGTTCTGTGATGGCCCTACCCAATCCAGCTGGTATTATTTAACTATGCTTTTTGGTCAAGTTAGATTTTTGTTGGCTTAGCACACCAAACCAGCTCAGCAGAGAGTCTGGCAAGTGCCAGAGCCAGCTGGGGACAGAATCACAGCCTTAGTCACCTCTGCCCAGTTTTCAGAAAATTTAGCCCCTTCACTAATTACTGGGATTTACTTAGTTTACCAATTTCCCTGCTAAAATCTTCAGGACAGAAGAAAGGAAAGAGGGAGCAGAAAGCTTGACCCATCCACCCACCCACTCTGGTGGAATCTTACAGGTAGTCATTAGAAAAATAATAAAATTAAAAATTTTCACAGGCAAGCTACACTAATGCAGGTGTGTTTGCACTAGTATTTACCCTGACCTTTTTCTAACAAAGTTTTAGAGCCTTCACATGGTTTGGCTATCTATAGCAGAGTAGTCTGTTTCGGTTACCTAAGAATGATTCTTAAATGATCTAAATGGAGTTTTTAATGGATAAAAGAAAGCACACAAATTTACAGCACCTAACTTCTTTTAAATGGAAAGCAGTAACAAAATTCTCCAACCAGTTGTTTCCAATTACAAGTTGGCCATTTACTCTGTTTGGGATTTTCTTAAATCTTCCCAGATTGCAAAATATTTACCCAAACTTAAACATACAAGGAGAAGTAGATATTTTCACAGTCACAACCCTAAAAGTTAATCTTTTCAGTTATGTCTACAATGTCAAATTTAGGAGCTGTAATTTCCCGTTCATGAAGCATCAGTGGTGGTTGGGTGCAGTCATGCAAGGAGGGGGAAGGGGTATTTTCTGCTTCTCCCTAACACATTCATTACTGCACTGCAAGGTAAAAATTCCAGGCAAGACAAATCAGGACCAGCACTTATCTAAACCTTGTTAACCGGAGTGAAAGTTAGGAATTGCCATAACCTCCGAAAGATTTATTACTTGGCTTTGTAAAGTAAAACATATCTCTTTCCCTCATAGACTAAGCAGTGGCAACAAGTTATGCTAATCTCTCAAAAGTCAACGAAGACAAGGCATCAGTGTACACACAGTAGATACTTCTTTTTTTTTTTTTCCTTTTTTTTTTTTTTTTTAAGTCACAGTCAAAAGCTTGTAGAAATTCTAACATTTGCAATTCTGCAGTCTCCCCAGGTTGGGAATGGTCTGAACAACGCGTGCGTTCCCCTTGTGTAAGACAGGCCACATGGACCAGCTGCCATCGTACTCCTCCTTTCGCTCACAATAACTGGTCGCCCCATTAAAGTCGGCTCACAGTTGCAAAGCCAATCTAAAAACTGGCATTAACTTAGTTCTGCATGCTCTGGTTGCAGAATCAAACATTAACTTTGGGGGTTATTTTCTGTATGCGTTAATTCCTAGCACACACCTTTTAAAAATCAGGGAAAGAAAAACCCCAAACCATAGCACGCCTCAGAAGAGGCAGGGACAAGCAAAGGGGCCTTGCCCGTAAACTGATCTTTTGCACGTATTCTTTTCAAATGAAAAAGTGGCCTTTCAAACGACTAGCTGCCACAGTGCTAAATCCTCTGTATGTCTTGCTCTCAGACCTACAAGTAGAGAACAGAAAACATAACTAAAGTGCATTAACATAATTTTAAGGCATTTTATACCGCAACATTGTAGTTCAAATAAAGAAAACCAAACAACCCCAAAAAGATGACTAGGGCCTTTTCCTCCTTCAGAAATTTTGATATCTAGAAAGCCCAATGAATACAGCAGAGTAACTGGAGAAAGGTGCCTGTGTACAGGTTGTTAGCACTCAGGCTGACAAGCACTTGAACCTATTCATTCACTTATTATGAAGCACTTGATAGTATTTTGATCACAGCTAAGCGATATAAACACTCACTTATGCTGTCATTTTTCTCTATAACATTCTAAATCACCCTATTTAGAAGACTACAACTATTTTTGAAGTGTCAACATCAACCATTTTCAGAGGCTGATTCTTGTTTTTTATGCTATTTTAAAAAAAATAAAAATAAAAGGATATAATCCCAACCACTAGAACACCGAACTCCTCTGCTCTTTTATTTCCTACTCTTATTTAAAATAATTTCTTAAACAGGTAGAGTAAAAAGTACTATCAAACGCTCTACATTTAACATCAAGCTCTGTGGAAATACAGTCATTATGATAAAAACCAAACCAACAGAAATGCTGTGAGTTTTGGAGGTATATTAAAATTGCAAACTCATTGACAGATAAATCAAAATCAGGAGTATTTAACTTTTTCATTCATTTCTTTAAACAATTCTATTTACCATAGTCAGTGGAATAATATTTTTCAAATTGTTAATTATTTTCAAAAGTTGAAACTGCCTGGCACTTCATATTTCTTTTGTCTTTAATAACAATGCAAGCATGTAACCCTCATGGTTAAACTCTGCCAGTTCCTAAAATACATTTCTCAAAATGTGTTCCCTAACCATTGCCAAGCATTAACCACAGTTTACCTAAGCTTGAAACAAGGTAACCAACCATGCTTTAGACCAACACTGAAATCAATCATTACAATTCAGAAAGCTCAAAAATTAAGTCCATTTAAGATTTTTTTTCAGCTGCACCAGCACTGTAATACTTGAGTATTTCAGAACTATAGAACTGGGTTCTCATAGCTGTTCACTAGCAAAGAAAAAAAAACAAAAAAAATTACATTAAAACTGAAGTTTTATTAACATGCTCTTAAAACAGAAGTTATATGACTGGTTTAACACCTGCTTCTTTCTTAACTTCATAATTAATGCTCAGATCAATGAAATAAACAAAAAAAAAGAAAAAAAACCCAAACAACCAAGGAAGTTAGTTGCACTTGATAGCTTCAGGAGAAATCCTTAAGTTTTTGGAAGGGAGAAGTC